CTGGGACATTCAGAGAATTATAAGTAGTTCCCAGGCTTCTGGATTTAATGGACTAGTAAATTTTCAGAAAAGTTTTCAGTGACTCATATAAAGTTGCCAGCCTCTTCTTTCTCAAGTAAGGACATGTGGTTTCTGTGAAGTTGTATTTAATAGTAACGTTGTTGTTAGGTGCTGTCAAGTTGGCTCCAACTCATAGAATCTTATGTATAACAAAACAAAACGTGGCCTGGTCCTGTGCCATCCTCACAGCCATAGCTGTGTTTGAGCTCATTGTTCTAGCCACTGTGTCAATCCATCTCACTGAGGGTCTCCCTCTTTTCCACTGACCCTCTACCAAGTATGATGTTCTAAATGTTATGGATATCTATAAGGTTTTCAACGGCTAATTTTTGGACTTATTCAAACTGTATGTTGGGCAGATAATCCGAGAAACTGTACCATATGAAGAAGAACGTGGCATCAGGATTGGAGGAGGATTCATTATCAACTTGCGATATGCCAATAACACAACCTTGCTTGCTGAAAGTGAAGAGGACTTGAAGCACTTACTGCTGAAGATCAAAGAGTACACCTCAACATAAAAAAAAAAAAAAAACCTCACAATTGGACCAATAAGCAACTTCATGATAAACAGAGAAAAGACTGAAGTTGTCGACGATTTCATTTTACTTGGATCTACAGTCAACGCCCATGGAAACAGGAGTCAAGAAATCAAATGACGTATTGCGTTGGGCACATCTGCTGCAAAAGTCCTCTGTAAAGTGTTAAAAAGCAAAGATGTTACTTTGCGGACTAAGGTGTGCCTGATCCAAGCCATGATATTTTCAATTGCCTCATATGCACGTAAAAGCTGGACAATGAATAAGGAAGACTGAAGAAGAATTGATGCCTTGAATTATGGTGTTGGTGAAGAATACTGAATATACCGTGGACTGCCAGAAGAACAAACAAATCTGTCTTGAAATAATTACAGCCAGAATACTCCTTAGAAACAAGGATAGCAAGACTTTGTCTCACATACTTTGGACATATTATCAGGAGGGACCAGTCCCTGGAGAAGGACATCATACTTGGTAAAGTAGAGGGTAGCGAAAAAGAGGAAGACCCTCAATGAGATGGACTAACACCATGGCTGCAACAGTGGGCTCAAACATAGCAACAATTGTGAGGATGGCACAGAACCAAGCAGTGTTTTGTTCTGTTGTACACAGGGTCACTATTAGTTGGAACCAACTCGATGGCACCTAATAACAATAACAATTTTTGTGATGTAGTGGTTAAGAGCTACGGCTCAACTGAAAGGTCAGCAGTTCGAATCCACCAGGCACTCCTTGGGAACCATATGGGGTAGTTCTACACTGTCCTACAGGGTCACTATGAATCAGAATTGACTGGATGGCAGTGGGTTTGGTTTAGGATTGAGCCCAACCACAGATGATAACCGATTAACAAAGACATCATTGGAACATGATAGAACCATGACAGAACATGATAGAAACCAGTAGGATGGTTTAATGAGGTTGAGGATCAGCTGGGCAAAAACATTTTTTCTGAGAGTAGAAGGGAAAGTCAAGTGTCATTTGAATAGTGATTTGTAATGGCCAAATTAGTGACAGCTGTCAGCTAAGTATGTGTTTACTTTTTACTTTATAATGTAACTTATAATAATGTGCTTATAATTATCATATAGTTACTAATTTCTTTCCATATTTAACAGCTAACATTTTATGGAAAATTTTCATTGACTAGAGTATTGGTTAAGAGTGTGGGCTTCACTGCCAGCTTGCCTGGGCTTGAATCTTATCCCAGCCACTCACCTCCTAGCTGTGTGATTTTGGGCAAATTACTTAACCTCCCTATGCCTCAGTTTCTTCACCAGTAAAATGGAGATAATAGTTGTATCTACTTCATAGGGTTGTGTGAGGATTAAATGAGTAAAGTCCTTTGAAGAATGCCTGGCATGTAATAAACATCTGATAAATGTTAGCTCTTATTTTAACTTTGGCCTGTCTCTGCACATGAATAACTGATAACAGAATCACTGCACTACATGCTTCCACCAACATACCTGCCACCAGGTAGCAGCATCCTTGAAATTGCAAGCATAGTGCTAAAGAAAGATAAGCTTGAGAACAGTAGCTATTAAATTTGAGTGTATACAGAATCACCCAGGAGGCTGGTTAAAATACAGATTTTGATGAACTAAGTTCAGGTGGAGCTCAGGAATCTGCCTTTTTGTGATAGGCACCTTGAGTAATTATTATACAGGTAGTTCTCAGTACACACTTCGAGAAATACTGATCAAATGGAATTTCTTATACTCAAATGGAATTCTGTGGGGTAAAGAATTTAACTTTACCCAATGAATTTGGTCTTTGAATTTGGTTCCTGAGAGAGAACCTCTAAAACCTTGGACTTATCCCAATGACTGAAGTGTCTTTGATGAGGCCTCCAGGCCACACCTGAGGGTTTATTCTAATGAGGTGACTCGGGTAGAGGCTGACCTGGGGAAGGGGTTGGGGACAAAATTCCATCAATCATGCCTGCTTAATGAGGCCCTAATAAAGGCTCTGGACAAGGAAACTCCATGGGCTTCCTGGTTGAAAGACATAGATGTACATGGGAGGGCAGTTTGTCCTTTTTGGGACATTGAAGTTCTCATTGAGAATCTTATACAGTGAATATATAAAGTGACTCTTCCAATGTATCATGTATCTTGATAGAAAAGGCATTTAGATAGGCAGCTGATTTTGTTTTTTAAGTTTTAACTCCATCCTACTACCACCTGACAGTTTTGTGTTACTACTGTACTCCCACTTTGTTTGGACAGTTGCCTCTAGGAGTTGAGTATTGTCCCTTCATGCTTAATGGCCCCCAAGATTTTTTAAATATCATTTCTTATTTTATATATATTATATATTTACAGTACAAGATTTTAAAAAGTATAAGGAAAAGATAACTCATCCACAATTCTACGACTCGGTGATAATCACCATTAAAACCATAATATACTTAATAATCTTAAACTATATATGTATATATATACATACACACTATATATATATATATCATACTATCTTACTATGCATAAAGATATCAATCATCTTCAACATTATAGCATTAACTTATTTCCATATTAAAGATTCTTCAAAAAACATGATTTTATTCTATCATGTTTTATCAATTTTTATTTAAGATTACTTTCAACTTTTTGCTATTATTGTTGTTAGGTGCTGTCAAGTCATTTCCAACTCATAGCCAATCTATGTACAACAGAACGAAACACTGCCTGGTCCTGTGCCATCCTCACAATCATTGTTATGTTTGAGCCCATTGTTGCAGCCACTGTGTTAATCCGTCTCATTGAGGGTCTTCCTCTTTTTCACTGACCCTCTGCTTTACCAAGTATGATGTCCTTCTCTAGGAATTGGTCCCTCCTGATAACATGTCCAAAGTACATGAGATGAAGTCTCATCGTCCTCGCTTCTAAGGAGCATCCTAACTGTACTTTATCCAAGACAGATTTGTTCGTTCTTCTGGCAGTCCATGGTATATTCAATATTCTTCACCAACACCATAATTCAAAGACATCAATTCTTCTTCTATCTTCCTTATTCATTGTCCAGCTTTCACATGCATATGAGACAATTGAAAATACTGTGGCTTGGATCAGATGCACCTTAGTCCTCAAAGTGACATCTTTGCTTTTTTAACACATTAAAGAGGTCTTTTGCAGCAGATTTGCCCAATGCAATATGTTTGATTTCTTGACTGCTGCTTCCATGGGCAGTGATTGTGTATCCACGTAAAATGAAATCCTTGACTACTTCAATATTTTCTTCCTTTATTATGATGTTGCTTACTGGTCCAGTTGTAAAGATTTTTGTTTTATTTATGTTGAGGTGCAATCCATACTGAAGACTATAGTCTTTGATCTTCTTCAGTAAGTGCTTCAAGTCCTCTTCACTTTCAGCAAGCAAGGTTATGTCATCTGCATATCACAGGTTGTTAATAAGTCTTCCTCCAATCTTGATGCCACGTTCTTCTTCATATAGTCCACCTTCTGGATTATTAGCTCAGCATACAGATTGAATAAGTATGGTGAAAGGGTACAAACCTGATGTATGCCTTTCCTGAATTTAAACTGCGCAGTATCCCCTTGTTCTGTTCGAATGAGTGCCTCATGGTTTATGTACAGGTTCCTCATGAGCACAATTAAGTGTTCTGGGATTTCCATTCTTCACAATGTTATCCATATTTTGTTATGAGCCACACATTGAATGTGTTTGCTAGTCAGTAAAACATAGGTAAACATCTTTCTGGTATTCTGTGCTTTCAGCCAAGATCCATCTGACATCAGCAATGATATCTCTCGTTCCGCGTCCTCTTCTGAATCCGGCTTGAACTTCTAGCCGTTCTCTGCTGATGTGCTGCTGCAACCACTTTTGAATGATCTTCAGCAAAATTTTACTCATATGTGATGTTAATGATATTGTTTGATAATTTCCACATTCTACTGGATTACCTTTCTTTGAAATGGGCACAAATACGGATTTCTTCCAGTTGATTGGACTGGAAGCTGTCTTCCAAATTTCTTGACATAGACAAGTGAGCACCTCCAGTGCTGCATCTGTTGAAACGTCTCACTTGATATTCCATCAATTCCTGGAGCCTTGTTTTTTGCCAATGCCTTCAGTGCAGCCTGGACTTCTTCCTTCAGTACCATCAGTTCTTGATCATATGCTACCTCATGAAATGGTTGAAAGTTGACCAGTTCTTTTTGGAACAGTGACTCTGTGTATTCCTTCCATCTTCTTTTGATGCTTCCTGCTTCGTTTAGTATTTTGCCCGTAGAATCGTTCAATATTGCAATTCAAGGCTTAAATTTTTCTTCAGTTCTTTCAGCTTGAGAAATGCTGAGCCTGTGCTTCCCTTTTGGTTTTCTAATTCAAGGTCCTTGCACATTTCATTATAATACTTTGTCTTCTCAAGCTGTCCTTTGAAATCTTCTGTTTGGCTCTTTTATTTCATCATTTCTTCCTTTCGCTTTAGCTACTGTATATTCAAGAGCAAGTTTCAGAGTCTTGCAACTTTTTACTACTATAAATAACATTAATTCTCCTTGTACAGAAATATTTGAACTCAGCTCCAACACAAATTAAGGAAAGACTGGAGTTACTTTTTGAAAAGGTAGTGACATCTATAGAGATCTTGATATATATTTGTCAAATTGCTGTCCGGAAATGTATTTGATTGCATGCTTACTGGCAGAGTATGAGCACCTATTTCACCACAACTTCTCCGACAACGAAGATTAAGTTTAAAAACAGTGTTGCTATTTAATGGTGAAAGAGGATTTCTCATCACCCTCAATTACTATTGAGGTTAGACATGTGCTCATGCTACTTGACCCATAATCTTAGTAAGAAGGCAACATATTTTTTAGCAAACTTAAAGTTTAAGACACATCAACTGTGATAATTCACAATTAACTCAGTTGTGTTGGCATTTTCATAGTTGTGCTAATCCCCAGCCTCCTAGAGTCTGTAAGGTAAGATTTTAAATGAAGAAAACTGTTTATTATGATAGTAAAGGGCACAGGATTCTGTGTAAGACCAATTCCAAGCCCTGCCGTTTAGTCTTGTGTAACCCTGAAGAAGTTACTTAACCTCTTTAAGCTTAATTTCCTTGACTGTAAAACAGGGTGGGTAAATCCTCACAATAATTGTTACAATCATGAGATGGGAATTTTTTAAGTTTTCAATAAATGGTAGCTACTATTAAAAAATGAGAAGTGTCTCCCTCCAAACTGCAAGATAGACCCAGTAGGTATATGAAAGTATGTGTATCATAAGACTTTTAGAAGCCAGAACTTTTCAAGTCCCAACAAGTTGCATATTTTACTTCATTTTATTGTTTAAACTTTTAATTTACTTGGTAGAAGAGCAACACAGAAAGGTGACTCTTTTTTGATGGTGGTGGTGGCAAGGGGAGGTTGGAAATGTGGTTGGCAGATCTGCTTGAGCTGTGCAGCCCAAGAGCGGCCTCAGAGTCTTTTGCAGGGAACAACAATTGCCAGTGTGGTACTTAGCACTTCTGGAAAGTTGCCCCGGAACTGATAGAGTAAATCCTCTTCCATGTCTCCTCCCCTCCACCCCCGTAGGGTAAAAGAAAGAGCACTACTTCAATACCGACACTAAATTAGCCTATGTAATCACTCAAAGGTCATTACAAGAATTTGGCTTTCCTTTCAACATTGTGCTGTGTGTCCTCCTGTCTGTCAAGGGAGTTATAAATATAACCTAGGTTCTCATTCAAATATTTTCTTTTACTAAGAATTCCATTCTTTGTGTAACAGACCTTTTGAGGCTGAAAATATTTTCTTAGATAAAAAAAAGATAAGCCTCACGTTTTGGATTGTATCTACAATCCTCCTTCCACACTGACGATGTGAATACGATATATACTATCTGTCCAGCTGTGCTAACCAGGTTGACTGCCAGATGGGTTGTTATTTTGCCGGAGGCACCCTACGTCACTCTCTGAACTGCTTTCTCTTTCACATTCTTGTACTTTTCCAGCTGACAGCCCAGAGGGTGGGTGCAGATTCCACCAGCAGCTGCGGCTGAAATCACGGTTCAGAAATGTCAGATATCCTCCGGGAGCTGCTCTGTGTTGCTGAGAAAGCTGCCAACATCGCGCGGGCATGCAGGCAGCAGGAAGCTCTCTTCCAGCTGCTGATAGAAGAAAAGAAAGAGGGAGAAAAGAACAAGAAGTTCGCAGTCGATTTCAAGACCCTGGCTGATGTACTGGTACAGGAAGTTATAAAACAGAATTTGGAGAACAAGGTAAGAAAGGTCACAGCCAAGGCAATTGCAAAATTGTTGCTCCTGTGGGTTTTTTCTCATTATAGAAGAGCATGCTTTTTACTTCCCCCCGCATGCTCAGGATACTAGCATCTTGGATTTAAATAAACATCTTTCTCCTCCCTTGTTTTGATTACAATATTAATAAAATGTCCACTGCAGAACAATTTAAAAATACAGAAAAGCAGATAAGAAAAATCATTCACGATTCTAACACTTAGAGATAAACATTTTGGTATAGACCTTTCATTTATTATGAATTTTTAAAAATAAATAATACGTGTTCTCTCTGAAATAAGCAAAAATAAGAAACCTCATAATCCCACCACTAGAGAAAACCGCGGCTATGTATAAACTATTGTTAGAATGTTTTCCTTCGATGTGTATGTGTGACACAAATAATTTATTTCAGCAGAAATGAGAGCATACAGTTTTGTAACTTGTTTTCTTTGTCTGTTTGTTTTATTTAGTCTATTAAGTCCCACTTTCTGACTTAGTCATTTATCTAATGGTTACCTTGGTAGCAGGCTTGTAGAGTCCTGGAGACTTTCAGTCTCCCTTTATTCTAGTAGAAAAACATTGTTTATAACTAACAGTGATTGTGATTCTGGGTATCTTGAGCTGACTGGAGAAAAGAAACTGTATTCATAAGTAGCAATAATAATAACACTTGCAAACACTTATAAGTGCTTACTGTGTGCCAGGGACTGCTCTAAGTGCTTTACATATATTAACTTATTTAACTTGTAAAACAATTTGACGAGGTAAGAACTAGTATTTTAATGTAATGGATGAGAAAAGTGAGGCTCAGAGAGGTTAACTAACTTGCCTAGCGTTACACAGCAAATAAATGGTAGGGCCAGCTTTAGAATACAGGTATACTGGCCGCAGAGTCTGTGTTCTTTGCAATACTGCATTGCCTTTTATAATCTAATAATTACATACTTCAGGTTTGGGGAGGATAGAACTTTATGACATAAACCATTATAAAACATTGCAGTAGTTTCTATGAAATTCTCAAAATATCAGTGGTCATTTTACAATGATTTAAGTGGAATCTTGACTGTAGGCAGAAGGAAAGAATAAATGACCCTCTTGAAAGCTCTACAGAACTCTATACTTTTTCATACCCTATTATACCTGGCTCTAGTAAATTAAATGAAGCAAGTTTATTTTTGTTTGTTGCTGATCAAGATGGTTGGGTGCAAGGGATGGTTGAGCAACTGGATTAGAAATGTGTCAACATTAATTTTTATGAGCTAATATTCACCCCAAAGCATTATAACACATTCAGGCACTTGTTCATTCAGGAGATATATGCAAAGCTGCTAAGTAAATAAATGATTCCATTTTGGCTATATAAGATATCTTTGTTCCATGACCCTTACGTTCTGTAGCCTCAGAAACAGTTTTTAAGTAGTCTGGGGAGACTGAACTTCAAACCTGGATGAACAGGCTAGACTCCAGCCATTGTTAATTTGTACTGTTGTGCAAAAGAAAAAAAAAATAACAGGTGGCTGTGGGCACTATTACAGCTATTAGCCATCAGAGAATGGCTGAGTTCAAATGTCTGAAGCATTTCCTTGCTTTCGTACCCTGAGAACATCATGCATATCATAATTCAGCACAATTTCAGAAAAATTATCTTTATACTAGAGAGATCAGAAGCAAAATGTATATGAAAGCTTTCTGATTATTTAGAGAGAAGATTCTTACTTGACCCCATTTATTCACTCTATTGATGCATTAATTACTTGAATCAATACATTATTTTTCCTCTTTTTTTCTATCATCACATTCTTCTAGTCTGAAGGCTAATGACACCTCCAACAGGTGCCTAAAACACACCTGAAGATGTAAACAAAATCTAACATCCTCCAATCTTTTATCCTTTTCATAAAAAGTAATAATTTTGGGTGCTCAATCAATAGTATTGGAGCCCTGGTGGCACAGTGGTTAAGTTTTAGGCTACTAACCAAAAGGTTGGCAGTTCGAATCCGCCAGCTGCTCCTTGGAAACCCTATGGAGCAGTTCTACTGTGTTCTATAGGGTCGCTATGAGTCGGAATCAACTCGACGGCAACGAGTTTGATTTGGGTTTAATCAACAGTATTAACTCATATAAGCTACTAGGGTGCTGTTGAAGAGCAACAGTTAAACTATCTCAATAGCAAACGCTGTAGTACTATGGTCCTTCAGTAGAAGGATGAAGTTCATAGAAGTACTTATGCAAATGGAAAGAAAACCAGAACCCCTACTATAATTTGGACTTTCTAGAGGGGCAAATGGGCAGGGTAATATTAGAAAACTAAGCACTGAACCGGGCTGACTTTGTTTTTTATACCTTGATTGATTTTGGCAATTTTACATTTCTGAATTGCAGATCTAATTGTGCTATTTAGTTTTGAAATATAAAATGAAAAGCTGTTCAGAATTGAATTTTTTTTTCTGTCATGCTCTGAATCATTCAGTTTCCAGGCTTGGGGGAAAAAATTTCTGGAGAAGAATCCAATGAGTTTACCAATGATTTGGGTAAGTATAAGAATCTTAATGTGTTTTTGTAATTTAATTATCATATGATATTCTACTCTCCAACTTACACCATGGATGTCTGGTAGCTTTGCAATGTAAACAACATAATACATTTTAATGTTAAGCTTCATTGAATCGCTACCTCAGAATATCAGGCCTTTTTAGTTATAGAGATGTGGTACCTTAGAATGACTTAGAAGATCCACGTGTATTTATTTATTTAAGATAGATATAAATCTGTAGCATTTTAATAATTTATGGCTTAACCCTTGGGAAAGTTGCATGGCCCTATGGGAATCTGATGGAAGGTGAAGATGCCCTCAGAAAAATGCACATCTACATAATTGTGCAGACAGTTTCAGGTCCAACATTTAAACCCATTTGTAGACTGCCTGGGGAGTCCATGGACCTTGGCTAAAAATGTAGAGGAGAGGCCCTGGCCCTGAAATATCATGTGAACTTAAGCAAATCACCTCATCACTTCTCTGGATCTCAGAGCCTCTGTAAAGGGAGCTGGACTAATTGAAAGGTTCCTTTTAGCATCAGGTTTAAAGTCTTATTTAATTAGTCTCCTGTGGGCCAGATTCTCTTTTGATGGATCTCCATGCTCCCCTTTGGTATAGATAAAAATTTCAAAATCCCTGTCTGATTGTTTTCAGAGAAAAAAATTATTTTTAGCTTGTTTGGAGTTTTGTTTGTTTAATGGTAGAAAGTTAAAATAAACCAAACCTATTACTTTTGAGTTGATTCTGACACATAGTGACCCTGTAGGACAGAGTAGAACTGCCCCATAGGGTTTCCTTGGCTGTAAATCTTTACAGAAGCAGACTGCCACATCTTTCTCCCATGGAGCAGCTGGTGGGTTCGATCAGCCCACCTTTCAGTTAGCCAGACGGTTTAACCACTGTGCCACCAGGGCTCCAGAAAATTTAAGTAGTGAACTTTAAAGACTGATCGCTTGACAAATAGTTAAACATCTAAAAATACATTAACAAATAGAAAAAAGAAAAAATTATCTTCTGGGTTAACTCTGAAAAATTTTAAATCTTCTTCATGGGCTGTATATTAAGATGCAGTTAGTTCTACCACAGTCAGAAGAGAGAGAAATCTCATTTAAACTTCTCAAGTTTAAAAATAAACCAAAACAAGATTCCTGTGATTGACTCATAAGAAATCCTGTTTAAAATCCTACATTTGGCTACTGCGTAAATGGTTTATTTTAATACCTCACTTATCTAGCATTATGGGGGCAGAAATGCATTCTACATACATTTTTTTTTTGAGAGCTGAAGTTTACCCCTTTAGTTCTTCAAGGAGGGAATGGGCTTCGCACGCTGGAGGAACAAAGAGACCTGGAGAGTGGTGGATGAGGCGGGGCTTCGAACTGGTTTGTTCTGGTTCTAATCCCTGGTAAGAATTTGCATTTCCACTCCCAGATATATTGAATCAGAATCTACATTTTAACAAGATCCCCAGGTGACTCTTATGTATAGTGAATTTTGAGAACCACTGCTCTACTACTAGTGGTTCTCAGAATTGGTTCCTAATCAGTAGCATTAGCATCACCTGGGAACTTGTTAGCAATGCAGAGTCTCAGCAGGGGTTTGAATCAGAACAAACTGGTTCAAAGCCTGGGATGAGGTAAACACAGGCAGGACCAGGTCACAGACAGCCCACAGATGGTAGGAAGGAGCTTGGATTTCCCTCTAAGTGTAATGGCAATCCATTGGAGAATTTTAAGCAAAGGAGTGATAGGATATGATTTGCTGTTTTGAATGATCCTGTGACTTACTGAGCCCAGAGTCGATGCTCAGTGGCCATTATTAGCATTATTATTCCCCAAATTTAACAGTCTAATTTGAATTTAATCTAACTCAATCTAATTAACTGTTTCTTGCTGGTTCAGAATCATTATAATAATTGTTTCATTCTGTACTTCTTAAATTTTAATGAGCATATGAATCACCTGGACATCTTGTTAAACTTCAACAGGTCTTGGGTGGGGCCTGAGATTGTGAAGTTCTAACAAGCACACAGGTAACGTGGATGGTGCTAGCCCTTGGAATAGTGCGAGTGCTGGGAGCATGTATATGCATACCTAAAAAACCCCAATGTGCCATGTTTCCTTGATTTTTTTTTAAATAGAGTTTTCTCCATTGTTGTCACTTTTTGTTGCTGTTAGTTTGCCTGTTTTTACCAGGCTTTTCCCTCACACTTCTTTCGGGGGTTGGAAACCAGATTAACCAAAGGTATAAGGAGCATGTTTAAAGTGATAGGTAAAATACCTGGACTTGGTCTTCTGGTTTCATTTAGAGAAGCCTCTTTTGTTACATCCCAGTTTTCAGTGAGTTTTACTGAAGCGAGCTATTTATATGCCATTTCAATTAGTACAGTTTTACTGCATTTAAAGATGCTATGATGCTGAACAGGCTTCAGCAGAGCTTCCAGACTAAAATGAACTAGGAAGAAAGGCCTGGCAATCTACTAAAAATCAGCCAGTGAAAACCCTATGGATCACAAAGATCCAATCCGCAGTCAATCACGGAGATGGCACAGGACTAGGCAACATTTCCTTCTGTCGTGTATGGGATTGCCAAGGGCTGACTCAATGGCCGCTAACAACATACTTCATCTTATATTACTTTCCTGAGCATAAAACAGAGGTAGAAGGTAGAAGAAGCACTTTAGTGTGCTTATAAGATCTGCATTCTTACCAATAATATATTCAGACATGAGCAAGTTGTCCTGAGTGTACTGAAAGTCAAAATTAAAATAAAAAGATTAAATATCAAGGATTCAGGGATTCTTAACTGGTCCACAAGTCCCTTTACATTGGATACAAAATTGTGTGCATGTGCCCATGTGGATATTTTTCTGGGGAGAAAGTCCTTTGATTCCTGGAGCCCATCCCTAGCTATTCTGATTAAGTGCTTGAGTGGCCACGTGGCCACTACCATCTGTGACTTCATGCAGCGCACCGAGTTATCCTGGCCATGTGCCAGGTTTAGAACCACTGGTATGAATAGATTTCCCTCACCTAATCTAAGTGTACAACTTTCGCTCCCCACCCACACCCTCTCTCTCTGTCTTGTTCTTTCTCCACTGAAACTCTTGAAATGTAATGGCTTTTAGTTTGTCTTTACCCCAGGGGAAAAGATTATCTTGAGACTGTGTTCAACAGAGGCAGAAACAGTCAAGCTTCTTAGCAAAGTCCTTAATGGTAACAAGTTGGCATCTGAGGCATTAGCCAAGGTTGTTCATCAGGATGTCTCCTTTACTGACCCAGCTCTGGATTCGATAAGGATCAATATTCCACAGAACATTTTGGGAATATGGGTGGATCCCATAGGTGAGTATAGGAGAGTGTGTTTGCTTTCATTTATTTGTTCTTATTAGCTTTTTTTCTTTTTTTTTGCTTAGAAAAATAAAAATCATTGAGAGTGTAGTTTAACTCTCCTAATTTTTTTTTAAATTGTAAGGTTTTAAAATGATAAACAGAGTGGTGTGTGTTAAAGATATATGTGTAAAATGTATGTAACGCGTGTGTATATATATATATACATACATTTTATACACACACACATGTGCAGACATCAAAGCTAAATTAACTCATCTTTGAAAGATTTTTCAATACAGGAGTTTCAAACTCAAATGCCTTCAGGGGCCACACTGGTAAATAAATGAGAGAAGAATGTGGGGATAGCAGTTATGGCCACTTTAGCACGCATGCCATCTAAAGGGCACTCAGCTCCAGCAGGTTGTTGCCATATGGGGTTGCAGGCCAGATCTTCAGATTTTTAAAGAGAAATGAAAATCTAGGTTTTTAAGTGAAATATTCCTATTTTTAACTATTCGCAACTAATTGGATTAAACAAACAAAAGCACTGTACAGGTTTAAGCAAAACACAGCTAAGTGTGATTCGTGAACAATGAATTTGTGAGCTCTGTTTAAACCTCACCACTGTTTTTTTTTTTGTCATTATTGTGGTAGAATCATAATCTATAACTCATTGCTTTAAAGGTGTAGGCCTTATCTTAGTGCTGCTGTTACCACAAAGTCCTAGGTATTAATTTTAATAGTTCTCTTTATTCTTTTCTACCTCACTGGCATATTCTACCCAATACAACTGGGACCATGCATTATTCTGTGCAGGCAAAAACAAACAAAAACATAACAACTCTAATTTTCCCATCATACAAGCATATTAACGCAATTTTATAGAAACGGATTTAGTCATCAGAGAATTACATAACGTTCAGACAATGGGTTATATATGGAAATTAAGACCCATTCCCAGAATCATTTAGGGTAAAAATCAATTATGATTTCTGAGGTACAAGAATTTTCCATCTCTTGGTTCTACCCTGTGTTGATTCTTTTATCAGCTTTTTGACCCTTAAGTCTGCATATTCTTAACTGTGTTAACTCAGTGATGACGGCAGGCAGCTGCTGCCATATATGCCTCTTAAGGGTAAACCCAGCTCCTGAGCTGCTTTTTCACAGGAGCAGCATTAATTTCTAGAATCCTTTTGTGCCACCAGCATTGTCCCTTTCCATCTTCTAACTTGAGGGATCAAAACAAAAGAAAACAAGAAGGTTAATTCCACCCCTGACAGATTCCTGGGAGGAGGCTATTCCATCCCACCTTGGACTAATCTTCTGATTATAACAGCTCTAAAGAATCCCGCCAGTTATCCTGAGTTATTAGCTTTTAAATGCTTTCGACATTTCATGAATATTTGTATGCTTATTATATGCAACGTGCTATGCTAGGTGCCACAGGAACTGTAGACGTGTCTTCTCTGCTCAAGAGTTCCCATTTAGTTGGGAAAATAAAACACAAGCAGCTTAAAAGTGAAGTACAAGAGGCCAAATAAAATAATTCACTACGAGTGACAGCCAAAGATAAAACTTGATTGGTTGCCAAATTAGTAGAGAAATTATATAGGACAGAGTTTATAGATGTAATCATCATTATCTTCTAAATAATCTTTTCCTGAATCTGAACAACTTTGCTTCATTTTTTAGATTCAACTTATCAGTATATAAAAGGCTCTGCTGACATCAAACCCAACCAAGGAATTTTCCCCTGCGGACTTCAATGCGTCACCATTTTAATTGGTGTTTATGACATACAGACAGGGATGCCCCTGATGGGAGTCATTAATCAACCTTTTGTGTCACAAGACCCAAACACCCACAGGTAAAGATTAACATTTTTGGCATTTTAAGGTTTTGAGAATTTATGATCTCAGCTTAGTTTATTGTCAGGATTATCACTCTACATGACATTCACATAACTCAATCCATGGTGTTGTTCCTATTGAAAGTTTGCATGTTTGAATTAAAGTTCTTTCTATTCTGAATTCTGGATTTGGGATCAATTTATTTGGGGCCAGGTGCATGCTGATAGAAACTTTTGAAAGAAATGCTATCTTGGAGAAATCATGGTTTTGCATCTGGGATATAGCAGTCCTGTTCTCTCTTTTCTAGAATCCATTCAAAACCAGATTAATAGAGTGGTGGTAACATTGTCTTCTAATACATTTGGAAAAGACAGATGCCATCATTATATAGCTGGTTGAACCTTTGTACCATTTTAAAATAAAGTTCCAAACAAAATGTGAAAATTATCCAATGAAAAGTAGGTATGGCCAGGATTAGAATCTGACTGTGGGTCATCTCTTGCTATAATGCTGTCAGCATCATTTCCTTTTCTGCCTCCTCCCTTCCGCCCTTTCCATGGGCTCCTGAAGAGAACAAAGAGAACAGCCAGGACTCCAGTTGCCTCTGACCCATGGCTGTGCTTTGGGGTTAGCTCCAGGGCATGGGAGAGGCTGAGTGGAAGCAAGCAGCTTTCCTCCCGTGGTTTTGGTTTTTATTGAAATAGGTCTCGTGTTTCCACTTACATAGAACCATGTATTTTTATTGAACTTTCAGGCACTTCAAGTGACTAAGAAGTGTGTGTTCTTCTATAGTCAAAAACTATACCTTTGGAACTTCCATTTTTTTCTGCCACTCCTCTTTCCTTCCAAGCCAAAAAAGGTGTTTGTCATCTTTAAAAGGTTATTAGAAAACTACAAAGAATTGGGACTGGATGCAGACATACTAATTGACTAGAAATGGAGGTGGTCGACAAAGTAGTTAGTGGCAGAGATCCGGAGTCAGACTGCCTGGTTCGAATCCAGATTCTACCCCTGACTAGCTGGGGTGATCTTGGGCACATTATTTACTTTCTCAAAGCCTCAGTTACCTCATCTGTAAATGGAGTAAATCACCCAACATACATATTAAGCTAAGCATTGATAAATGACACATGCTGTTTTTGTTGTTGCTGAAAATAGTATTATGAGTCCATCTTTCTTGGTGTTAGAAGCCAAAGTGGAACTACTGAATCAGAGAAAGAAAGAGAATTACCAAATGAAGAAAAACTTGTTAAAGAGATGATAATATATTTGCAGGTTGAAAAGAAATATTCTTTATTTGTTCATCTTTTTCCCTATTAAACTTTAAATGCCGAAAGTGGCAATGAAAGTTTGCAGTGTTCCCGGAGGCCCCAAATCCCGCATATATTTTAGCGTCATCCTAGATTGATGTGATAATGTCATAAAATTGAAAGCATTCCTAGTCTGTAACAACACAGGCAGCTGCATGCAGATTAGTAGCTTTTAGAAATTAGTTAGCTATTTGATACCCATTTCTAGGCTTAAGACTGTTAAGACTCATTAAATTATGATGATACATATCATATATATTTTATATATATACACACACATTTGATATCAGTAAGTTTGAAACCAACATGTGTAATGAAAAACAAATGTGATAACCTACAAACTAAAATTACTCTTCCACAGGTGGAAAGGACAGTGCTACTGGGGCCTTTCTTACATGGGGACCAATATCCATTCACTTCAGCTTCATATTCCTAAAAGAAACGGCAGTGAAACGCTGAGCCAACTGACTGAAAACACCAGCTCTGAAGCAGAATCCCATGGCTTTTCAGCTGTCATTAGTACAAGTGAAAAGGAAACTGTCAAAGCCGCATTGTTACATGTATGTGGAGATAGCATATTTCGGGCAGCCGGAGCTGGTTACAAGAGTCTTTGTGTTGTGCAAGGCCTTGTTGACATTTACATCTTTTCAGATGATACCACATTCAAGTGGGACTCTTGTGCTGCTCATGCCATACTGAGGTCTATGGGTGGGGGAATGGTAGATCTAAAGGAATGCTTAGAAAGAAATCCAGAAAAGGAGCTTAATTTGCCACAGTTGGTATACCATGTACCAAACGAAGGTGCTTCTGGAGTTGATCAGTGGGCTAACAAGGGAGGACTAATTGCATACAGATCAAGGAAGCAGCTGGAGACATTCCTGAGCCTCCTCATCCAACACCTTGTACCTGCAGATACAAATACATAGATAAAGTTTGACCTCAGTATACATTCAAACTGGACTGTGAATATATTTCCCATATCTCTATCTTCCTCTTTTGAGGAGCATTTTTCATTATGTGTTAGAATAATTTTAATTTCAATAAATGAATGACATTCATACAGGAATGAAGTTCATGTGTGACATTCTGATAGTATTATTAGTTTTGCTTGAAACACTTCAATAAAATATTGAAGAAAAAATCCTGCTCAATTAGTAAAACTACTATAAACATCTAATTGAAAGGTGAAATGTCACTGAAATAATAGGGAGAACGCAGTATTGGGTGGTGCTTACATTTTGTTTCCTGTCTTGTAAGAAAAATCCGCAGTTTTAGCCTCTGTGGCAGAACATTTAGAACTGTGAATTTGCACAATTTAGCCAAGTTCATGTATTTTCAACAGTTTTGTTATGTCTCCTAGTTATGAATTAAAGCCTGGAGCAGTTTGGGCACCACATGCATACACACACACACAGACACCACACTCCTCTAGATGAGGCAGAATGGGATGGAGCAAATGTTTCTGCAGTTTTTACATATTTACTATACTTCATCAAAAAACAGAGGTAGGCTTTAAATTTACACAACCCTGTGTCTACTAACATCCCATATTGAATGTTCTCTGAGGTGGACATACAAGACCAGTAGTCATTGAGACAATTCTAACTTCTGGCAACCCCAGGTGTGTCAGAGCAGAATGTGCTCAGTGGGGTTTTCAATGGCTGATTTTTCAGAAGTAACATTGCCAGGCCTTTCTTCCAAGGTGCTTTGGGTAGACTTGAACTGCCAACCTTTTGGTTAGCAGCTAAGTGCATTAACCATTTGCACCACCTAGTGGACATATAGGGGACCACTTTTTCTATTCTTAGCAGCCCCTAGTAGTGCAATTGTTGCTAGTTGCTGTCAAGTCGATTCCGACTCAGGACGACCCTGTGTGTGCAGGGTACAACTGCTCCATTAGGTTTTTAGGTGTAGTTAAAACCCAAAACCCACTGCTGTTGAGTTGATTTAGACTCATAGCAACCCCACAGGGTTTCCAAGGCTGTAAATCTCTACGGAAGCTGACTGCCACATTTTTTCCCGCTGAGCCTTTGGTGGTTTTGAACCACCAAACTTTTGGTTAGCAGTCGATTGCTTTAACCACTGCGCCACCAGGGCTCCTTTTAGGAGGGATCAAATACTCTCAGCTCTGATTTCTGTCTGTCCTGCACTCCCTGGGGGCCAAAAGATATTTCTGCAGCATCCTCTATATTTCTTCCCGGCTTTGAACTGGTTCGAATCCCTGGGGAGAATTTGAATTTCCACCCCAGATATACATAATCAGAATCCACAGTTTAACAAGAGCCTCAGGTGATTCTTATGTATAATGAATTTTGAGAACCACTGCTGTACTAGTGGTTCTCAGAATTGGTCCCTAACCAGCAACATTAGCATTGCCTAGGAATTGTTAGAAATGCAAATTCTCAGCAGGGATTCGAACTGGAACAACCAGTTTAGTGATGTGGTTACAGTTTTTTTCAGGTCTGTATTGTGTTCTGTGGAGCCCTGGTGACCCAGTTATTAAGAGCTCAGCTGCTCACCAAAAGTTTGGCAGTTCGAATCCACCAGCTGCTCCTTGGAAACCCTATGGGGCAGTTCTACTCTGTCTTACAGGGTCGCTATGAGTCAGAATCAACTTGATGGCAATTTTTTGGTATTGTGTTCTATGATTGTGGGCCGTCAAGCTGTATATTGCTATCATTTACAACCTAATTTTAGAGGTTCATTTTAAGTCAAGTGAGTTCATTCTTCACAAAAAAAAATTAGAAATGAAAACACAGAAACTAGCCCTGTTTCCTCATATGTCCCAGAATGGAGAAATAGAACATGGTTCAAGAAAAAGTATTTTTATCAGTATGAACATTTTAAAGTGTGCAAATTAGTAATAAAATGCAGTGAAAATAGTCATCTTCAATGTGATCTAAACAGCTAGCTGGTTAATTGAAAAATAAAAGCTGGATGAACTGGGAATCAAAAAATGATGCAAATACCTTGTGAACATCTATTATATACATTCACTGTCAGTCTTCTTGGAAAGCTAAGGCTTCTTTAAGTGTGTGTCTGCTGATAGGGGGTCTGCATTGTTTTTCTTAACATAAACCACACCAGTGAGCATGACTTTTGAGTTCTTTTTTAAAGTGGAAGAAAAACTTCAGAATATTTACAAAGCAATCTGAGAACATAATCCATAATCTGGATTTTATAAATTTTCTCCATTTTTTAAGACTCACCTTTATCAACCCTTTCCAATGCCTTCTTTTTTTTTGAAACTCATGTTCCATTATTCTGCATCATATTTAATTAAACCATTTAATTATAAAAAGTATAAATGAAATACAGGATTTTGGAAAGATATCAACAATTCTTAGTAAACATACAACAACTGATGGGAACAAGACTTGAAGGTAGTGATGAACAGGTGTAGAGAGTAGCCTCCTGGTGCCATGAAGATCCAGTGTCTCATGCATCAGTCATTGTGTGTTACAGGGGAATACACAGAGACCTTAATCTGCCAGGTCAATTAAACGGAGGACAGTAAAAAGACAGCTTCAGCTGCATGTCAATAAGAGCGCTCTCTGGGATTCCATGTCAGCATTGATGCAGTTCTCTCACAATCCAAATCAAAAACACACATCCAGTCCACCTTCAAAATATATCCAGGATTTACCAAAGGACTAATTGTCCACAGCTACCAAGGCCTCCACCGGACTGAGTCCAGTACAGCTAGATGGTGCCTGCCTACCACAACTGACTGCTCTGACCAGGATCACAACAGAGGGTTCTGGACAGAGCTGGAGAAGATGTAGAGCATAATTCTTAACTCACAAAAAAAAGACCAGATTTACTGGCCTAAAGGAGACTGGAGAAACCTCAAGAGTATGGCCCC